ACCTTAAGTGTCCGGTACGACACAGTTCCTCTCAGGCTCATAGCCGAGGAACTACATGCTTCGGACCCCAAGAGTCAGGTACGATTTAGTTCCTCTCAGGCTCATAGCAGAGAAATTACATGTCTCGGACCTCAAGAGTCCGGTACGATACAGATCCTCTCAGGCTCATAGCCGAGGAACTGCATACCTCGGACCTTAAGTATCTGGTACAATACAGTTCCTCTCAGGCTCATAACCAAGAAACTATATGCTTCGGACCCCAAGAGTCCGGTATGATTTAGTTCCTCTCAGGCTCATAGGCGAGGAAATATATGCCTCGGACCACAAGAGTCTGGTACGATACACTTCCTCTCAGGCTCATAGCCGAGAAACTACATACTTCGGACCTTAAGTGTCCGGTACGATACAATTCCTCTCAGGCTCATAGTCGAGGAACTACATACTTCGGACCTTAAGTGTCCGGTACGATACAGTTCCTCTCAGGCTCATAACCAAGGAACTACATGCCTCGGACCCCAAGAGTCCGATACGATTTAGTTTCTCTCAGGCTCATAGCCGAGGAATTACCTACTTCAGACCCTAAGTGTCCGGAACAAGTCAACAATTCCTCTTAGGCTCATAGCCGAGGAATTACCCACTTCATACCCTAAGTGTCCAGTACAAATCAACAATTCCTTTCAGGCTCATAACCAAGGAATTACTTGCTTCAGACCCTAAGTGTCCGGCACAAATCAACAAATCCTCTCAGGCTCATAGCCGAGGAATTACCTACTTCGGACCCTAAGTGTCATGTACAAATCAACAATTCCTCTCAGGCTCATAGTCGAGGAATTACCTACTTCGGATCCTAAGTGTCCGGTACAAATCAAAATTATATTATATATGTTTTCAAAATTAAGAATGATATATTAATAATGACGGCAAAATTATATTATATATGTTTTCAAAGTTAAGAATGATATATTAATAATGATGGCAAACTTAGTGTTGATTTTACACACAAAATAATGACGTAGTAATTCAAAATAAATACACAACTAAAGAAAATTCAATTTATAAATTAATTAAGTACCATATTTACAGGTGAAAAAGTGACATAAACACAAAATTTGAAATTAAAATAATTTTTAAACAATTGAATCAATGACATTCAAATTTTGATTCACTTCATCTCATTAAAATCTAAGTATGAAAATATTAAGTATTTTATTATTTTATGATTGAGCCTCGATCTTATACAGGGTATTAAATTTATCACTTTCAATTTAATTTTGTGTTAAAAACCCTAGATTAATGATTTTAAAAATTATTGTATTGAAATACATAATAAACGTGTTAACAAATTACAACATCATAACAAAATAATTATTTGTTACAATAGAAAATTCATCCACATTTTGAGATACTCATAATATATTGTTGTGTGAATCATTAATAGTTATTGTTTTATTTAATATATTTGCATGAAGAACTTAATACTTTATCATTTAAAGAAATTGAATTGAGATAGATTCTTTTTGATACATGTTAAAAAAATTAGATTTTTTTTTTTTTTAATCAATTAGAACACTGGATGATACTCTATATAGATTTTATTTTATTTTTTTTTAAGACAAGAATGTTACATATACCAATATAACTCTAAAGATTGCGTGTATATTGTGTCTAATGAATGAGCATGGTGGATGAATGAATGAGCATAGTGGGACCTCTCCGGCCTCTTTTTCATCCAAACTCCGACCGCATTGTATATATATTTAGGATAATGCATCGATAATGCTTAGCTACTCACCGACCCCTTTTTCGTCCAAACTCTGACCGCATTGTATATATATTTAGGATAATGCACCGATAATGCTTAACTACTCACCCTTATGTGGTTCAATAACAAAATAACATATCATATTTAATAATAAAATAATTCACACATTTGGCTATATACGTTTATTTAGTGGTTGATCCGAGAGAGCAGTCAAATGTGTGAATTATTTAATTATTAAAGATAATATGTTATTTTGTTATTGGACCACATAGGGGTGAATAACTTCACTCTATTCACCGGTTAGTAGCTAACATTGTCCATATATTTATTACACCACTTTTTATATCCTTTGAATCCGTGTTTTAATTTTCAATATATATATATATTATATTGGTTTTCTTTTTCTCTCTCTCTCTTCAATTATTTCAATTCAAATTTATAAGACTTTTGAAAATTTGTATTTTTCTGTGATGGGTTCATATACGTACATTTGAAAACTCTGTATCGGATGTGAAGTTACCAAGACAGGAATCCATTACCTGACCCTTCCCAAGACGTAAAGTTAAAGTTATTCAATGGAAAAGATACCCATGTGCAACTCTGTCTTTGCCTTTTCTGAAATGATTCCTTGTTTTTTTTTTTTTTTCGTTGCTGCTATGGCCTCTTCTTTTTCCCTCCAAATATCAATTACCTATACATACATACATACATATCTATATATAAACAATCATAGGTTTTATTTTGTATTCATATTTTAAAAAATAAACAAGATTGACGAGACAAATTAGAGTGAGAAACTACAAATTTTTAGTTAGATTCGAATTTTAAGAATTTTTTGATTTGCCTTGATTATATAAAAATAAAAATTAATAAAAAATAGTTGATGTTGAATAAATTTTGTATAAAAATATGAATATTATTTAATTTTGTGTAATTTAATAAATATAGTAAAAAATTAAAATATTTTTCCTCTCCCAAAATAATCGGATATTTGGGAACTGCGAGTGGGGAATAGCGATTGATGATATATTACTAGTATTATTTTATCCATAGTCGCTCTGCAAAGGCTCAGCACCTTTAATAATGACCCACCAAATGCGTGGGCCCCTCTCTACGTCTATAACTTTCTCTCTGGTCAAGGTATGACCCAGGCCATGCCCGACACTTTTGGGACGCAAGATTATCACACAATTTTGATCAGTCATGACGTGGCGTTTTCTGGGATGGTATTATCCCACGTGGCGGGAATAGATATCATGTGTATTCATAGTCCGATAGAGATGGTACAACCTACTTTGGCGGATGATACTATTAACAATTTGTGAGATAAGGGAGGGTCTAATTGTGTACTATAATTATTTGGGCGATTTGAAAAAAACACCTCTGTACTTTCATTTGTTAGTAAAAAATTCTCTTTTTATATTGTTTTAAACCTCTCTGAATTATTAGAGTATGTGCCAAAAATCCTCCTAAATTATAAAAGTAAAAGTTGCAAAAAATCTTCTAAATTATTGGGATATGTGCAAGAAACCCCCCTAACTATAAAAGTTACAAAAAAACCCCATAAATTATTGGGATATGTGTAAGAAATCCCCCTGAACTATATATATTTTTTACAGTTTACCCCATTCGCGTGAATTGATTGATTGAAAGGGACGATGAAGTCGAGGAGTTTGTGGTTGGGATCGGAGTGGTAGATGTCGTCTGAGGAGTGTTTGGATAAGCCAAGGAATCTATTGTTGAGATCGGTGGGTCTCCTGTCAGAGCTCTATCATAGCCGTTGCACCACCCGCCAAATCCGTCAGCCATATATATCGCACTTCTCTGCACTGTTGCGTCAGCCCATCGCCATCACCGCCTTGCCCGCCGTTCAGCTCACCTTGCTAGCTGGTCCATTCCACCGTCCATTGCAAGCTCGCCGGCCCATTCCGCCATCTCCATAGCCAAGCACACCGCCGTCCGTGTTTTGAGCACACAGTCGTCCACAGTTCACCGCCGAGCCCCCTTGAGCTTGCTGCCGCCTCCACAGTTCACGGCCGAGTCAACCGAGCTCTCATCACAGCTGAGTCCTCCGCGCACAAGCCTCCATCATTCGAGACCGAGCCATCCCGTCGACCTCGGATTTCTTTGGTCTCTTCTCTTTCTCTCTCTAGCTCTCTGTTTTGGGTTGTGTTGGGTGAAAAACATCTTTTGGCAAAAAAAAAAAAAAAAAAATGTAAGAAGTGTATAAGTTAAAACGACGCAGTGTGTTATAAGGGTAAACTTGTTTTTCAAAATTTTTAGTGCTGGAAGCTAATGTCATGAGGTAAATTGCAACAAAATCATAGTTTAAGGGGGATTTCTTGTAAATGAACAATAGTTTAAGAGGGTAAATTATAACAAAAATAATAATTTAGGGGGGTTTCTTCTAAATGACCAATATTTCAAGGGGGATAAATGCACTTTACCCTTGTTTTAACAAAAAAAAAAATTTCTCTCAATTATCACGAGGGTATTTTAAGGGATTATATTTTGAACAAAAGCCAATTACCACCGTGAACGCGTCTTTACCGTGTCGTCTTCTCCAACCATCCTTCAGTCCGCGGAAACGACCCTCGCCGACCACCAAAATGGCCATGACCACCACCATAACCGGTACGGAAAACTCATAAAATTGGTGTCTTCTCTCTGTCCAGGGGACGTCGTCGGCACGCTGGACAACAACGCGGGCAAACTGTTATGAGTTCATTTATATTATGTTGGGGCTAAATGTCAGTTCTATCGTCGTGTGCTTTGCTCATATCCGTACCAGTCCCTTAATGGGTCTATTCCATGTCACCAGTTCCGTGATACATTGCCATCAACATCAACACCCTCGTCCATAGAAGGAGCCCTATCCTCCTCTAGCTGACGTCTGGCTGGGCCTGAGAGTCTTTTTTTTTTTTTTTTCTCATCGAAACGTTGGACATTTCTAAGATCGAATTGTTGTGGTGGGTCGTCTTGCTAGGGTGTCGTTGGAGCTTGTTGCCGGCACCGGAACTGAGGTACACCGGCGTAGAGCTCTCCGGATTTATCACCGAACTTTCTTTGCTATTTTTATCGCTACAATTAGCCTGTCTTTGCTGGGTTTATGTGTGTGTGAAATTGACAGTAACATACCCATACAATAACACCACCCCCACCCCCACCTCCATGCTCACCAACCCCACCTCCACCACCACCCCCACCCCCACCCCCACCCCCACCCCCGCCACCCCCACCTCCACCTCCATCCACAACCCCGCCGCTACCCCTCACCCTAATTAGAATTCTAAAATCAAAGTTTTTTTGCTGAATTTAACAAATCCCCTTTCACCCTCACTCTTGATTTATCCAATTTGATCTAATGTCAGCTGCCTTGGGATACCAGGTATATATCTGTCGCTCTCCTTCTCACTCACCTTCTCACTCACTCGCTCACCCACACAAATGTAGTTACTACATATGGCTACTCTAGTGCAGAAATAAAGATCACTGATGATTTGTATTTACGTGCCTTTCTTGTAGCTCTCCTCTTTTAAAACCACTGATGATTTATGGGAGATCCAGCTAGATTTGCAAGGGGAAGGGAACCAGACAATGGAAAAATTAGTGATGGCCTAAATAAAATGGCACCACCCGTGAGTATTTAAGTCCATTTAAAATTATGATCGTGTTAAATGATTTGTAGAAAAAATGAAAGAGCACTCTTATTTATGTATAAACAAACCTGTTTACTTATCAAAAACAAAATTATGTATAAACAAACTTGTGATTCTACTTTGTAGTTTGATAAACATTAAAATATAAGGGTTAAAAATTTCAAGAGCTGAATTTTAAGTGTTAAATATAAATTATATAGATATTTCAAATACTTATTAAATTTATCTGTCATCTCATGGGAAATACTTGAGAGGTCTTTGATACAAAATACACCGGTATAAGATGTGGTTGTGAGGTTAGTTCAGATCAGATCTGTTTATTTGGTAGTGTTATTTTTGAGATTTTCTTGGTATATTTTGGTAGGGATATTCTTGTTATGTCCTAACTAGAATGAAGTATTTGCTTCTATGTGACGCCCCAGTGCTTTTGATTATAAGTTGAAGGAAATGCTAGTAATGCGTGATTCTTTAATTCAGTTTCTAGAATTGCATTACTTGCTATTACTATATATGAATTTTGTTTTTCTGTTCTTTCTATTACAAGGCATGTCTCCTATTATTTTTAACTTTTTAAATCATTTCTAATTACTTCATGCCACATAAATTCTGGTCGAGCCCTGTCTCTTATCTTCTATGTCTTCATTTTTAATTTAACACATTGCAAATGATTCTATTTAACAAAAACTCTTAGCAACATGAATTTCTTTTCCACAGAACCAGTTGTTTTCATTTGTTTGAGGATTTATTCTCGGGTTTTCAACTTTCTTTGTTTATGCAAGAGTTGTTTAATTCAAATGTGATATATTCTCGTGAAACCTCATATATGTTAGTTCAGTCCATGCACAACTTCATTCAACTTTTTTGTTATTTTTGCAGCCTTAAACATTAATTCTCAGTAGAAGTCCAAAAAAATTAGTTTTTTCATGAAATAAAAGTAAATTTTTGATTACGTATCAGTTTTAATTTTCTGTTGTTTTTCCTGGAATGCTTAGTAGTTTGTATATATATAGGTGTTGCAACTATTTTAATTTCAAAATGTTTCATATTGGTAGCACAACTACATTTTCTTATAAAGTAACATTATAGGTGCAACTTTCTATCTATTGGAAATCTCAAAAAATGGTTTCACAAGGGATTCATGTCAAAAAAAGGTTTCAATATGTTTCATGATGTTATTTTAGATATAACATTTCGATATCTGGCCTTATTTCGGATGGAGGAAGTTTTATACGGATGAAAGGTGATAAAGAATTCATTGAAGAAATAATATACGTAGATAAATATTTTCTGCTCAATCAAAGATGTGAGTGCACTTTATTGATTGTACATAGTTCTTACACCTACATGTGATATTTATAAAAGACCTTAAATTGTTCAAGGGAGGAACTTGTGTACCAAACTGTTTTAAGGTCACAAACCAGTGAAAAAAAGTAGCATATCAGTCAGTTAAGAAGGCTAAGAGTTTAACGGCCATGACCAAGCTTAAATTTGCATTTGGTACAGTAGCTATTTGAAATATTCTTTGAGTATCATATGACATCATGGCCTAGACGGTAGGTGAAGGGGCGAAAATATTCCTCAATGAAAACACAACTTCTGGGCAGGATGTGTCACCAATCATATCGTGCCATGTGTAAGCAGTGACAGCACACACAGATGGGCCAACCTTCTTTTCCGCGGCCATCCTGGCCGCCTTCTCCACTTCCAAGGCACTAGACAACGCAGTACATTTCTATTCAAGTTCCTGGTGTCGAACAACCACCTTGTTGGCCTCAAGAACCAACTTGTTCTTCTGAGAGTGCAAGCTTGCTACCTTACGTTCACCAGCCTCAACGGTGTGACATAGAGAAGCTATCCCGAACATGGTCTGCAAGGATAGAAGTGGAATCTAAGTACAACAGGTGAACGAAAGAATACACATAAACTGAAACTAAAGAATTATGATGAATGGGGGAGTTCTCACCTCCATTGCACAGATAGACACCCTAGCAAACAGGTCATGCCTGGAAAGCTCCTTCTGAACCTGAACGTCTGCAGGAATCTATAAGTTCCAGGCATAGGACAGAGCGATGGGCCCATTTTTGAACATGGTGTCCTCAGCTGTCACGAAGGACCCATCAACCTTTAGGAATTTGGGAGCCCATGGCTCGCTTGAACAAGAAGTATCCCTTGCAAAGGATCCAGAGCCAACTGCTTGGGCTGATCGAGAAGCCTGAACATGAACGGCAGAAGAAGGTTGATGAACGATTGAATGCGTGCTGGTGCGCCCTGATTGGAACCTCCAGATCTGCCGTCTGCTATTCTTTTCCCCAAAGACTTTTCTTGGGTTGTAGAGTCTGGTTCACATTCCCCTATCCGGCGGCTCTTCTGCCGAACGTCGGGGTAAGACGTTGCTCCACACTTTTTGGCATAGGTAGAGGAGCCTTCCTTTTGCGATGGAGTAGTCCAAGAGATCTGTGGGGACACCAACAAAATGACAAATAAATCTATAGAAGCGGACAAGACAAGTTTCGTGCACGCGCGCGCACACACATTTATGCTTCCTAAGGGGGTGAATGTTCAGAGAGTGCACTCCCTGAACGAGGAGGGGATTAGGGCAGACTCGGATGCTCTGGTCTTCCAATTCCCCCAGACCATTATGCGATCATCTTTTCATCCTTTTCCATAGTTGGGGTTATCGGCGCAGATTGCGCGACCTGAGATAGGAAAAAAGTGGTATCGATTACTTTTAAGGCGGATTCTACACACCTTATAACAGAAAAGCAAATCAATGATACTAATGTCAAGACTCTACCTCTGATTTAGAATGAGAAGCATGGAAATTATCCTAAAGAAGTTCCGGTTGACTTGTAGCGGGGCGAGTTTGAGCCTATTAAGCACTAAATGATGCAGGGGATGTAGAGGAAACCCAAAAACCCCTAGCTGAGGGGCAGAGAAGATCATCTCACTGGGAGTAAAACCCTCCCCAACCTTGAACTTTGCGTCATTGGGGTAGTGTTTAATGTAAACATCGTTGGGGATTTAGCAATTAACACGAAGCGCATCAAGATCGATGGCGATTACAAGAAATCCAGAAATCCACTGGAGAGAAAAAAGAAAAGGTTTTGAGGTAGGAAAAAGCGAAGAAAACTGGCCTTGAAGTAAGGGAAAGATGATCACCGGAAATGCACCGAGGAAGGAAGGAGAGATCGCTGTAGAAAAGTCTCTATCAGATCTGGAGTGAATCTTGTATAAGGAAAAAAGTAGAAGAGCTAAGGAGGAGACTTCTTAAAGGACAATGCTTGAGTCCTGCCTTATCAGGACAATTTTAGTCCTGCAAGCTGAGTTGGCCCAATGAGAGGCTGACACCTCTCTTCAACTAAAAAAAATACAAAACATGGGTTATAACCCATTTACGTAGGATTATACCCGATATATCATTTCCTTTTTTTTTTTTTCTCTCTCCTCCCATGTGCGTATGTCTATTTCTTTTTTGTTTCTCTCACATCATGCTCCCATCCCCGTTTCACATTGTCGCCTCCATTCACAAATCCAAACTCTAGGAAACATCGAATCCAGTTCATTGATTTCGGACAGTGGTATGGTCTTAGCAAATGATTGATACATTTTTTTTTTTTTCTTGATTCACATTCTTGAAGCAGGTATGTTCAAACATTATATTTTCCAGTGCAAATTGTTTTTCTTCTTTCAAAGAGCTTAAATCAAGTATGGGTTTTGTTGAATTTTTTGTTCAAAACGAGCTTAATTCAAGCTTAATTGTGTTCAAATTTTGGGTTTTTTTCCTTTCAAAAACAAAGGTTTCTGTTTGTTTCCTTTTCCTCTCATACTTATTTAGGTTCCTTTTCCATAAAAAAGGATATTCTTCTTCTTCCTTTTGTTTTTAAATTTATTTTTTATTTTTTTATTTCCTAAATGGTATTCTTCATTTTGATTAGATAAAAAAATGTATTGATAGTTTTAGGGTGAAGTTTCATTCAATTTTATTTTTTATTTATATATATATATAGTTATGCTCTTTAGCAAAGGGAAGAAATGTTCTATACCTGTTATCTGATCAATCACTTCTTCTTTAAGAAGAAAAAAAAAAAAAGTGAAAAGGGTTTTTCTTCCAAATTTCAACCTTCAAGGAAAGAACATGAATTCATTGTAATGCAAAAAAAAAAAAAAAATCTTACATTTTTAGCACCTCCATTGCTATTCGACAAATTCTGCAGTATGTGGTGAGGGCAAGACCTAGGGACACGGGAGCATGATGTGAGAAGCAAAAAAGAAATGGAGACATAGCAGAGAGAAACAAAAAGGAAATGAATGATCTGTAGGGTCTAGTCCTAAGTAAATGGGTATAACTTATACTTTGTATTTTTTAGAGTTGAATAGAGTTGTTAGCCTCTTATTGGATGAACTCAGTTTTCGGGACTAAAATTGTCCTGATAATGCAGGACTCAAGCATTGTCCCTTCTTAAATAGTGAAGTCTGATATGCTAAGAAGATTTGGAAAAGACCCGCACGAGACCCGCAGGCACACGCTCCCATTAAAGCCATGATTATGACAAGATCCAAAAAGCATTTGAAATTTCATCCCCACAAAAGTGTGAAATGAAATTGGGGGCAAGGTGAGGGGCGAAAATATCCCCGAATGAAAACATGGCATCTGGGCAGGACATGTCACCAATTTTAGTGTGCCACATGTAAGCAGCGACAGATCACACAGAATATGGGCCAACCACGCTGAAGGCCAAAGCGAGACTGGCTGGCCCAGGATGAATTGTGTGGAACAATCACTTGATTGGGAGGCCCTAAAAGAAAGGACGGTCAAGAAGGAGGGTCCAGGCCCATGAGATCGAAGCTTAGGCCCCAAGTAAGAAAAATTAGGGTAAGAATGAAAGAGGTATAAAAAGGAAGGATTGTAAGAACGAAAGGCATTGAGTGTTGTAGGAGAAAAATACTTTCTTCTTTGAACTGTGAGTAATTCTTGTACACACAGTAGGTTTTGTAATTGTGCAGCTTAATATAATCTTCAATTTTCACAAGGTGGTTATATATCTTGTAGAGTCTTTTATAAATTAAAATAGGCAATGATGCCCTTCCTCATTTGCAAGATCAAATACAGTTTTATGAATTGCAAATTATTAATACAAATAATTTATATATGAACTACTTTTGTTTTTATGGTCCTTAACTATAGCTACAAGTTAGAAAAATTAGGGTAAGAATGAAAGAGGTATAAAAAGGAAGGATTGTAATAATGAAAGGCTTTGAATGTTGTAGGAGAAAAATACTTTCTTCTTTGAACTGTAAGTAATTCTTGTACACACGGTAGGTTTTGTAATTGTGCAGCTTAATATAATCTTCAGTTTTCACAAGGTTGTTGCATATCTTGTAGAGTATTTTATAAATTAAAATAGGCAATGATCAAGGGCGGATCTAGCCTTTCTAAATGGGGTGGGCTAATTTTGGACTGGGCTACCATTACTATTTTTTTTTTATTTTTTGGGGCTGGACTTAAAGTAGTATGGTAAATTTTTTTTTTTTTTGGGGTGGGCTGAAGCCCAGTTTTGCCCACCCTTGGATCCGCCCTTGGCAATGATGCCCTTCCTCATTTGCAAGATCAAATACAGAATGATGAATTTAAAATTATTAATACTAATAATTTATGAACTACTTTTGTTTTTATGGTCCTTATCTATAGCTTCACCACAGGTTGGATTCAAATCAACCCAGGTATCTTCACCTATATCTCCTCCATAGCTTTCCGGGTGGAAAATTGAATCAGTCCATGCATCTATTTTATGCCTTTCATCACGTGGTTGTTCTCAAGTATTCCAATCTATTTTATGACTTTCAATTAGTGGGCATGACCAATCCATTCCCCAACTTAATCACTAAATTTCAATAGTAGTAAACCTAATTGTTAATTCGACAAAATATTTTTGATTGGATATTTATGCTCCGTTTCGTTTGAGGGATGGGAAAATGGATGGAAGGGAGAGGGAAGGGATGGATGAAGCATATATCTAGGGAAGGGAAAATGTCTCCCACACTTTTTGTTTGGTTGAATGGAATGGATAATAGAAATGATAGATGGGGTGACACTTTTTTTGTTTAGTTGGATGGAAGGGAATAAAATGTTTTTATATACATATTTTTTTTTCAAATTTTTGGTAAGATTAAAAATGGAATTTTATATTTGTTGTAATTATCCCTTCTTTCTCTCTCCTCTTCCCCCAATATTGGGATAGAAAAATACAGCAAGGAGGAATGCTTCATCACTCCTTGCTTTCATCCCTCATTTCCCTTCCCTCCAACCAAAACGAAAAAGTTGGTTTTATCTCCCTTCTCATCTATACCTCCTAAATCATTCCCTCTAACCAAACATAGCATTAGTTTCTTTTTGTTGAAACTTAAATTAATCGGGCCTTCGTATTTTGTGTAATGGTCATTATTTGTAATACAATGTTCATGTCTATTAGTACTATACTTGTGAGGTTCCCATGTGCATTTATACTAGTATATGTATATAGAAAAAGTAGCAAGTACAACATATATATATATATATATATATATATATGAAAATTGCTAACCGCTAAATATACTTTAACTTCTGTAATTGCTGTGAAATTAATGGTACAAAATCTAGGGTAAATAACTAAATCAGTGAGGGAAGAAAAAAAGAGAGATTAGAGGCCTTTGGAAACTCAACAGATGTCGTTTTGACAATGCTGTTTTTCAAATTGAGCAATTGCTGTTTTTCAATCCCCAACACTAAAGGCCTTTAGAAACTTTCGCAACCTTGCACTTTTTACTTTTTCTCTCATTTTTGGACTTATTATTTCTTTTGAATTGGAATGCATTTGCAGCAACAGGAAGATACATCAAGTGAATTTATTCACGGCATTGCTATTGGTGTTGCGATTGCCATTTGGTTATAGCACTGCTTGCTGATCGCCAGAATTGATATTGTACGTATCTGCTTATTAGTGGCTTTTCCTGATATCTGTTGAACACTATTAGACTTGGCTCAGTTCACTTTCTGTTTCAAAAATTTTCAGGTCCATGAAGGCGGCAATGCTTTCCCTCGAAAGAAATGGATGCATGACTTTCCCGCTTTCTTCCCCTACCTCTCCCTCTTGAATGCCTATTCTGTAATTTTCAGAAATTGTGCGTTTTTTTTTTTTAGTGTTTTCCTGCACATGAAATGGCGAGAGATTATGAACCTGTCGGACAGAACTTTTTTTTTTTTTTGATAAGTTAATCTTTCATCTTTTCATGCGCAGGACAACACTAAAAAAAAAAAGCCCACAATTTCTGAAAATTACAGAATAGGCTGGAATAAAGATCATGTTCTAAGCATTCAAGAGGAAAGCTCACTCTAGAGGAGAACTTGTAAGGCGCGAGATCTGGATCCAGATCCAGCGACGGAGCTTTCCCGGGTTGTGGAAGCAGAAGAAAGAGCGCATCCCTAGCGGTACGAAAAGAGAGGTCGTGATGATATCATCTACGTCCGTACTGCTCATGCAAAGGTTCAAATCCTTTTACTCCAGATTATGAACACGGTCTGATTTGCTTAGCGAGGTTTGCTCTAAAAGCCTCTGTAATAGCTTCTCTTATTTAAGCTAAAGAACCCATGGAGAATCCCTCTATCTAGAGGGAGGTACCCAAAACGAAAGTTACGGATCCCGGAGCCTTAAATGATATTATTTTGGATCAAATGATGAAGCACTTGTCCTGTCCAACCAACCCAACGTTGAATCAGGTTGATTTGGGCAATCCACTTCTTAAGGAGATTCCTTACCAACTGCACAGTGAAGCAGCCATGTGAACAAAAGGGGCGGGCAAAGAGAATCAAATGAATAGAGATCATGAACTGGGCGTTGTCCCTGGTGGAGGCTCGAATATTCTGTTTTGCTTCTTCCCAACTTATTGAACGGATGTCAACTTACGTGGAGTGAAGTCCGGGTCCATCCCAAGCAGCAAATCACTCAAATTCAATCAAAAAGGAGAGGGAGGGGAAGAAAGCGGGAAAGTCATGCATCCATTTCTTTCAAGAGAAAGCATTGCCCCTTCATGGACAATATCAATTCTGGCGATCAACAAGCAGTGCTATAATCCAAATGGCAATCACAACACCAATAGCAATGCCGTGAATAAATTCAGTTGATTTATCTTCTTGTTGCGGTGATGCCATTTTATTTAGGCCATCACTAATTTTTTCCATTGTCTGGTTCCCTTCCTCTTGCAAATCTAGCTGGATCTTCCATAAATCATCAGTGGTTTTAGTAGACGAGAGCTGGTATCCCAAGGCAGTTGACATTACGATCAAAATGGATAAAGCAAGAGTGAGGGTGAAAGGGGATTCGTTAAATTCAGCAAAAAAACTTTGATTTCAGAATTGTAATTAGGGTGAGGGGTAGTGGCGGGGTTGTGGATGGAGGGGGTGGGGGTGAGGGTGGCGGTGGGGTGGAGGGGGTGCGGTTGGGTTTGGGAGTGGGAGTGGCACGTCTGAAGGAATAGGGGTTCAAAATTTTAGAGATGTGAACATTGGTTGTGGGAGGTGGAGTAAATGGGTTTTGATTCCTACAGTTGGACGAGCTACTGGTCTGAAGGAATAGGGGTTCAGTAGGATGATGGTGGCCTTCCGGCAACAAAGGGCGCCAATGCCTTGCAGAAGAACCATGGATGCATGCAGAAGGTTCTCTTTTGGAGATAATTGGTAAAATATATTTGGGGCCTGAAACCTGTCTAATAGAACTTCATTATTATAATTCTACCATCTCAATTGTCAGTCCATATTTGATACCTGTGATACCTAGGACATTTTTGGGTATCCCTAGACTTTTTAAATATTTACGCAATGCAGGTATTTGATTCCTGAATTTTTAATATTTATGTCTCAGGATCAGGTTTCAAAACAAAATATACATAGTCGATTGCTTTATTTTCAGACTTTATATGTGTTGCTATCTGTGCTTGATTGTTCTTCTATCTTAAGCATATGATGTCTTTTTCCCATTCATCACTTTATAACTATGTTGTTAGTAATTTGATGAGATTTTGATGTTTTAACATGTCTGGTGATGGATTATGGAAGGGGTCCGACATGACAAATTTGAAATTCAATAATTTGGCATTGAATTAAGTTTATCTTTGAGAAGCTATTAGAGAATGGAAAGCAGCCTTGGCAAAAGAGCTAATTGTTTAAGCTCTACAGGCTCTATATGAGCTTGTATCGAGCTGAGCTTTAACTCAATACTACATTCAATATGTGTAAGAATAAGCTTCACATAAGAATTAATGTTTTCCCATTGTTTAGTTTCTTCAATTCCGTGTGTAACACAAGGAAGTCGACAAGGAATACTTGTCTTCACACTGACCTAATGAGCAAACGGATGGTGTAGGTAGAGTCCCGAAAAGCAGGTCTCCCTGATATTAGTCGAGGTCTCTTCTAGGACGGCATCGGTAGCTTGGGACTTCGAAGCTGTAAAATGCACTTTTTTCTTCCCTTTTGGTTAGACACCAGTGATCCAGCTGTCAACAGGAATAGGAGCTGGTTAATACAAAGGGAAAGAGATCTAATTCATTATGGAATAATCCGCCTATTGGCACCGTGGCGGTTATTTTTCACATAAAATAAAATTTAAAGTAAAAATTTGATTGTTTAAATTTTACGGACAAATAATTTATTTATTTATTTATTTTGTTGATATAGTGGTGTCACGTCTCATAAAACAATTTATAATTTATTAGTGAACAAATGTCGTTCCACCAGTCAATACTTAAAAAGTCCCCCACCCATTACACCAGGCATTTACAGAAAAAAAAATTCCTAAAATTATCGAGATAATATGACTTTGGATCTGGATTGAATGTTAAGTAAAAGGTTTTATCATTAGACTATTCTAGGTTAATGGACAATTAATATGAGAAAAAAAAAACACAGAGAGAAATATTTATAACCCTGCATATTAGGATAAAAGTTGTGATACATAGTTTCAAAATAGGACATACTATATTTATGTTATATTTCTTTCTTCTTTGAGATAAATATGGTTAATTTTCAAATCATTAATGCAGGTTTTGATATGGATTCAATGATACGTCATTTTCACATTGCGCCAAATTTTTCCCGCCAACAACAACGCGTCGTGTGTAGTGGGACACATCTCTCCAGTCAGCCAACCCACCCACTTCCTTTCCTCACCTTTGTAATTAATTCTCGTCGATAGATAGGCGTTGGATCGACCACCTCGAACATTACAAGTACGCACTTGATTACAAAAATACCGAACTACCCTTATTCGGAACTTGTTCAACTCCAACCTTATCTTTGTAAATTGGATGAGAGTTTTGATTCTTGAAGCTCAAGTGATTGGTTTTTAAATTAGTTTAAAAGACTGCCTGATTGACAAAAAAAAAAAAAATGACTATGAATCAATATCACACTAAATTAGTTAATTTTGCAATGTCATTTGTGTTCAAATATGAAATTTTGCAATGTAAATATCACTTGTATGGTCAAATTTTAAATTCTAGAATAACAGTAACTTTTTCATTAAAGAATTTTGTTTTATCAAAAGACATGAACAAACAAAAGTGGACAATATGATCAAATTTTAAATTTTAGCATATAATAGTAACTTTTTTAATTAATGGCAACCAAAAGGAGGGTGTAGTTATATATTAGAAGGAATTACAATTAATTATGCTTAAAAGTTTTGTACTCGTGATTAAATATGGGGACTTTTCAATTGCGATGGATCATTGGTGTGGGCAAATAACTCGGTAAGATAAGATATCAAAAATTAGTCTAGAAATTTATATATTTATCTCACTCATCGAGATATAGCATAAGGAGTGGGTCTTGGTAGTCAATTTATGCATGATCCTCGCACCATTCATTCAAAGACTATGTATTTTATTTTAAAATATTTAAAAATTTAATCATATAAGATAGTGATTCGAATTTTCTCTGGTATATCATCATTATAATATGTTGTGTAACATATCGGCTTGTTATTTTTAAAAATGTGTCATGATTACTTTGAGAATGTAATACTTTAACTTTCGAGAATACAACACCTATTAAAACCTTTTTTTTTTTTTTTTTTTTTTTTTTTTTTTTCTTCTTCAATTGTAATTTTAACGAATCAATTTTAGGCAACCAAAGATAAATGTGTTGTATTTTCAAAATGAAGCATATTCTTAAAATAATGGGATTATTACACACATATATATATATATATATGGTGTTATTAATTCATATTTATTATTTGATGGAGTCAAAAGTCTCATAATTTCATAAAAATGAAGTTGACCAAAATGTTAGGTGGACATAGAAAAACACTATTCATTTATCAAAACTACCCTCACAACACTTTTAGACTCCCTTTTTGCATTATCAAAACAAAATATACAAAATTTGTAAACAAAGGTGTTAAAGTAAAAGGAGAGGCAATATACACATACTATAATATTAGTATGTGTATATATATGATCTAGCGTGATTCCTGAAATGTGCCGGTGTTGGATGTGCGAAGGCGGGGGCCCGCAATGAAACCGGACGTGTTGTTATCGTGTATGTGTTCAGCTCCTCCTCCAAACCCCCCACCTTCCAAAGCTGAACAAACCCCCAAAAAAAGTCCGTTTGCGTAACCACCACACCATTCAATTATTATTTCAATTCAATAATTTCACTCACCTTACCATTCACAATACCTTCCCTTCTATTTGTTACCACAATTTTCTGGATTATGTCATTTCATCTTTCTTTCTCTTTCATTCATTTAGGCGATTGCTCTGATTTCCTCCTCTCAAACCCAAATCCCCTCTGTGTGTGTATGTGTCCAATATAGCTATTCCAGAAAACTATGGCATATATGTGTAATTGTGTGTATGTATTGTAAATACATACTATTATTTCTCCGTTCAAATACTCAAATAATACTCTCTCTCTTATATTTGGGGATTGTATGTAGGATCTGACATGGTTGAAGTCTTTCAACCTGAATCAAACCATTGAATCTTGAGGTAATTTTTTATTAATGTTATTAGTTTTCAGTGCATGAATTGGTTTTATGTTGATTGTGGTTTATTTACTCTGATCTATTAAGATATTAGAGAGAATATAGATACTTAACAAAAAAAAAAAAAGCATATAAACATTGAAGAGATTTTAAGAAAAATAAATGATTCAATGATCAAAAATTGGATTCAGATAGAATTGTTTTAATACCTACTTATCTCTGAGCTTGTATTCTCAAGTTTATGCACAAAAATCACAAGAATAGCTACAGGGAATTGCACTCGATTTTCGTAAAAGTCGGGACTTTTAAGTTTGTGTCACTCACTCGCCCTCGTCTCTGGATTTACTCTCTAAAGTGGTAAATGTGGTAAATGTGCTCTATATATATTCATTCTGATGTGGCAAACGCAATAGTTATTGATGTGTCAAACACAATTAGTTAGGTGAAGCTTGCAAAATATCTAGGAAAAGGGAAAGAAGATAATGATCCAAAACGAGCAAAAAAAAGAAAGGAAAGAGAAAGATAAAGAACATGGAAGAAGTATAACCAAAGAGAATTAAGTGTCAGTTATATGGATTTGATCCTTTGATGAGTGTTTTTGTGTGCAAGGAACAACCAAAGAGAATAAATTGAAAAGGAATCTTACAGAAGTTTCATAAAAGAAAAGGCATAATACACTTGTTTTTAGCTAAAATTTGAACTTAAAAAAATGGATTGTTCAGGAAGCGTCATAAAGAATGTAGAGCACATTTAGACGCAAGTGTAATAATGTCAAGAAGTGTTTGGCATGCCAATTATTAATAGGAAAAGTGTCCGACGTAGCAAGGTGTCCCTTTTGCTTTTCACTGCACATGAACACAACCATTTCTTCTTAGTCTTCTACTTCTTTTTAATTTTATAGAATGTACAATGATCCCCAAAAGAGTGAAAGACTCAGAATGGGAACACATTTAAAAATAACAAGAAAAGATAACCACCCTTGTGAACTCATACCATTTTTTGACAAAGGGAGGTTAGGAAGTAAAGAAATATATTAGTTAATCAAGCTTTATTGTCTGACTGAATGCATACAACATGTCTGCAAAATAAATGTTGAACTAATTTATACCACGTATTGATTTTACTCAAATGTGTCACTTATCGAGAGGTTTATTAGTACATGAAACACTACATATTACCAGCAGCCATTACATAAGAGGTTTTTTTTTTTTCGATAAATATTACACACCAAGAGGTTTTTTTTCCTTAGGGTTTTTTCATCTTTAAACTCGGATAATGAGGCACATGGGTGCCATGTGATGTTTACGTTTGTTTTTCAATGTCAAACTAATGGCAGGGGTGTGTTTTGATACAGCTTTCAATAGTTCAGGGTTTTTTTTTTTTTTTTTGCTGATACCAATTTATTACATGGGGTAATATGGCATAATTTTATAGTACAGAGGGTTTTATGATTTTAACCCATCATTTTATGACCTTAAGCCTATAATAAGTATGCAGAGCATGTCGCGATTGAGGTTCATCATGATCTCCCTTATTTTTCCCGACTCAAAAGAATTCGCTTTTCAAGACCAAAGCCCATTGTTCTGCTCTAATAGTCTGAGTTAATACGGTGAAATTCATCCTTCGTGATCCACTAGCCACTTAAAATTCATCCTTTGTAATCCAAAAGTCATCTATGTATAGGCAACCCCTCCAACGGACAATATATCGTTGATAACCACCCTAACAAGAAGCAATGATCTGTAGCACACAAACTTTGCTAATTTGAATAACGTATTAGGTGTACATGTGGTAGACCAAAAATCAGATGTGGATGTCTCTCCACGTCTACTTTTGCAGAATGAATCCTCAAAAGATTTTAAGTTCTCAAATTTGGATTGAAATCATTCTAAACTGAAAAACACCCCAAGGCTAGTCACTTTGGTGGGCTTTGTATGCCTCTCTGATGTATCGGAACTTTAAGAGATTTCATTTTGATTTAGCGTTTTAAATGGATGTTGTTATATAAGCATTGTAATTTGAAGCATTTTCAGTTTGTTATATATTTCATAATCCAACATTTCCCTTATCTTTTACAGATGGATTTCTGCTGGTAACTTCATCAGCATTCTTCGGAAGCAATACAACTGTGCTGATTTAGACTTCATTCTTGGAAAATGTTAGAAGGAAACAACCGTAATGCTGTTTTTCCTATTTTCGTTGATCAGAACCCGTTCCAGTATCATACTACTGCATCAAATCAACTGCATTTACTCGAAAATTGTGAGTTTCTGTTTATTTTGTTAGCATATCAAAAGTATTATGTTTGTGGGTGTATAATTGTGTTTTTGTCCTTGTATTATGTTTGTAGTTGTGTTAATTGTGTATTAGATTGACCTTCTATCCTTAGGGTTTTGCTCTTTTCGTTTTTCTGCAGCTATTTTGCTCCCGCATGAGGTAAATGTCTGGGTTTACCAGTCGATAAAATTTATAGATACTTGCCATGCTTGCTCTGCTTCTAGTTAGTGTTCGATAGAATTATTTCTCCCTTTATTTATTTCATACGTACTGTTGGAACAGGTATAGAGTGCTGAAATAGTTAAATTTAGAACTCGGTAATCCCCCGTTCTTATGAATGAATTGATAGATACATCATGAATTGTTTGCCTTCTGGCGTAGAAAACCTTCAGACTTGCAAGAAACACATCCTAACAAGAAATTTTTTCTTTTCTTGCACCTCAGGCTTGCTGAGCTGATCTCTTCTTCCTTTTTAGTTGGGTTCAATGTGCTCCTCAGGGTTGCCTCAATTATAGCTACATCTCTGGAGGCTTTAGAATTTTACTTGATAACTGCGCTTTGCATTTTCACAAAAATAAGATCATGTTCTCACTTTGCTTTGTACAATCTTGTTGGCTTTCTGGTAGTTGAACTGATCCGATATTTACCCTTTTGCAATCTACGTTACAGTACCGGTTGGATGTAATATCGATCCAGTAAATTATTTCAGAAATGAGCACAACAACCCCTTGCTTCGGCCTAATAAAAGAGGCAGGGAATCAGAAGAGATCTCAAGGAAGCAGATGCGTCAGATTTCCTTGAACAACATCTGTCATGATGAAGCTAAGCTATTACTATCAAGCATACCAAACCAAAACCCTGTATCGACGGGTTTAAGGCTGTCATGTGATGATGATGAACGCAACTCCTCTGTCACTTCTGCAAGTGAGAATTTGACGGCAACACCACCAATCATCTTATCTTTTGGTGACACTATTAGGAATGAGCTTAATAGGCAGGAAAAAGAAGTTGATCAGTATATTAAGATTCAGGTATGGCTGCCCACTAATTGAACTATTAGGGATATGTGACCTATCATTATGATGTCCATGTTGGAGGACTTTTCAGTGTCTATAACTAACCTCATTATTTGTGAGTCATTGGTACTCTCTTCCCTCTGATTCGAGTCTTCCTTTTGTTATGTTGGAACTTGAAGATCCGGAAGAATTGAAATTTTTGTATCATTGCATAACATACTCTCCCTCTTCAAATAGTGTGTGATCATTTTTATGCTGTACTTTGCACCTTGAGTTAATTATTGTTAGTCTTTAAACAGGAAGAAAATCTGGCAAAGGGGATGAGAGACATAAATCAGAGACACATGACATCTTTCCTGAGTGCTCTAGAGAAATGCATCAGTAAGAAGATACATGAAAAGGATCTTGAAATAGAGAACATAAACCGCAAGAACAGAGAACTGGCTGAGAGAATGAAGCAGGCGGCAGTGGAAGCCCAAAACTGGCAGCATAGAGCAAAATATAACGAGTCGGTGGTTGAAGTCCTGAAAAACAACCTCCAGCAGGCAATTTCACAAGGTGCTGACCAAGGGAAGGAAGGGTTTGGAGACAGTGAAATCGATGATGATGCTGCTTCATACATAAACCCCAACAACCACCTCGGCCTTCAAGGCGGGCCTGGGAAGACTAGTTTCAGGAAGGATAATATGATTTGCAGAGCATGCAAGGCCAAGGAGGTCTGCATCTTGTTGATGCCTTGTAGACACTTGTGTTTGTGTAAGGATTGTGATGGATTAATCAATATTTGTCTTGTATGCCAGGAGATGAAAACTTCTAGTATCCAGGTCTACTTGTCATAAATTAAATTTCTAACTACTTTAAAAGTTGAAAAGAAATTATCCAGTCCACTATCTATATGTTATTAGTTTAGTCTCTGTACCTAAAATCATAAAATGTATATGGGTGGATGACTTGTTAAAGTTCAAAAAATGGAGATGGGAGTAATTTCCTTTTGTATTTGTGTAGAATCCGTTTCTAACCAACCAGTCAGGCGGAGTGATCAAACCCTGGTGTCATCAAGGTAAAAGTCTAGAAGAAAGACCTCATATGACAATGATCAATGTATACAAATACTTTTTGAGCTCTAAAGTTCTAACGAAAGATACGGTTAACATTCTTTCCACATTCATTCCTGTACTCAAAATTATATAACTGTACCTATCTGCCATGAGAGAATGTAAAAACTTAAACAACTAAAGATTCACAAAAACCAACAATTGGACAAAAAGAAAGAAGCCATGTCTGAAATTGGTATATATGTTTGAACTGAATAAAAACTCCCTCGGCAAATAGTGAACAAGTCTAAAGAACTTGAAGTCTGCTAGGGAAAGAAAAGAGATCTATTAAAGTTGTGATTGCCATGGATGATGAGAAACTCCCAGCTTTCAATTACGTGGCCAAAATGAAATATCCAAATTTGTTCAAGTTCAACTGATTACGATGGCATCAGAAAATAGAAATTTCTGTACACTATCAACCCTCCAATAAGCATTATCCTGGTAACAAACCTGATGAGAAGAAACCACTGTTATTGAGACGAACATTTGGAATGAGAGGATTTCTTTGGAATTAGATTTGAAAATGGGTTTAAGATGTTTGAAATGAATGGGATTTTGAAATTTATAACTTACACAAATTAGGAGAATTTGATGGGATTTAATGACTGATTTTCTAACTTACCAATGTTATTCACATATCTACCTAAAAAGTGATATTTTATAACCCATACAAATTCATTGAGAATTTGAAGGGATTTGATAACCGTTATCTAATTTACTAATATTATTCATTTATCGTAGAGAAATTTAATAATCTATACAAATTCGGAGAAAATTAGGGGGATTTGGTAACTACTTTCTAATTTATCAAAATTATTATTATTATTATTATTTATAACCCATAAGAATTCCGAGAAAAATGAAAGGATTTGAGTCCTTTTAACCTCTTACTTCTCTCACATATCTAGTTTAAAATAAATACACGCATAATAATAAAGATAAAATGAAATAAAATTTATTTACCTTAAAATGAATTTTAGTTTATTCCAAAAGAAATTTTAATTTAATTAGAACTGAGTTGATGACTGATTTTCTAACTTACCAATATTATTCACATATCTATGTAAAAAAGTGTAATTTTATAACCTATACAAATTCATGGAGAATTTGAAGGAATTTGATAACCGTTCTCTAACTTACCAATATTATTCATTTATCTTCTTAGAGAAATGTTATAAAATATACAAATCCGGAGAAAAATAGGGAGATTTAAGGGGAGTTACTATCAGACCTATCAAAATTATCTCTTTATCTTCTTATGGTAACTACTATCAGACCTATCAAAATTATCTCTTTTATCTTCTTACTTTTTCTCATTAAAAAATAAATTTTATAACCTATAAGAATTCGAAGAAAAATGAAAGGATTTGGTGACCGCTCTCTAACTTACCAAAATTTGTTCCTATTATCCTCTTAGTTACCAATATTATTCATTTATCTTCTTAGAGAAATTTAATAATCTATAAAAATTCGGAGAAAAATAGGGGGATTTGAGGAGATTTGGTTACTACTCTTTAACTTATCAAAATTATCTATTTATCTTCTTACTTTTTCTCACTAAAAAATAATTTTTATAACCTATAAGAATTCAGAGATAAATGAAAGGATTTAGTGACTGATCTCTAACTTACCAAAATTTGTTCCTATTATCTTCTTAGTTATCAATATTATTCATTTATCTTCTTAGAGAAATTTTATAATCTATAAAAATTCGGAGAAAAATAAGGGGATTTGAGTGGATTTCGTAACTACTCTTTAACTTATCAAAATTATCTCTTTTATCTTCTTACTTTTTCTCGTTAAAAAAATAAATTTTATAACCTATAAGAATTCGGAGAAAAATGAAAGAATTTTATAACCTATAATAATTCAAAGAAAAATGAAAGGATTTGAGGAGATTTGGTGACTGCTCTCTAACTTACCAAAATTTGTTCCTTGTATCTTCTTGCTTCTCTCACATATCTAGGTTAAAAAAACATACACGCATACCAATAAAGATAAAGTGAAATAAAATTTATTTACCTTTAAATGAATTTTATTTTATTCCAAAAGAAATTTCAATTTAATTAGAACTTTTATAATCTATACAAATCCAGGAGAAAAATAGGGGGTTTTAAGGGGATTTGGTAACTACTCTCTAATTTATCAAAATTATCCCTTTATCTTCTAACTACTCTTTAACTTAATCAAAATTATTCCTTTATCTTACTTTTTATCGTTAAAAAATAAATTTTACCAAAATTTGTTCCTTTTATCCTCTTACTTCTCTCACATATCTAGGTTAAAAAAAATACACGCATAATAATAAAGATATAATGAAATAAAATTTATACTTAATTTATTTATTTTACACAAAATTAATTACAAAATCATGGAAAAGAAATGAAGATCCAATAACATAGAAAGATGTCAACTATCATCAGTACCAATAATATTTACTATAGACAAACATCTTATTTGAATGCATACATCCAAATAATTTAGATTATATAGTATATGACTAGGCCAAGTAGTTACAATTAGAAATTCAAAGCATTTCTCTAATTTTGAGTGTGATCCATGAACTTGGACTTGAAAATAGATAAGATTTAGTTCATCAAACATGAACCCATCAATGTGTAGATTACGATGTCGACACTTGTTATTAGCATTACTCATTAATATTATTAGCTTTAAACATTTAAACTCAAAGATGAAAAATGTTTCCAGTTGCAGACCTCAACAAAGAAATTATGAACCTTTATGATAAATATCCTTCACCAAACAAAGTATAGGATTATTTTTTTCGGTAAATCAACAATTAAAGTATAAGACTTAAAAAAAAAAAAAAAAAACACAGAGATGGATGTTTGTTAAAATGAACCCTCAACTATATGTTGAGGGTGATTTTTTGCTAAAAATATTCCGGAGTTTTTTTGCAATCGAGTAATAGTCTTCGCCCATTTTTGTATCATTGCATAACATACTTTTCCGTTTCTAATAATTTTTGTGCGGTACTTTGCACCTTGAGTTAATTATTGTTAGTCTCTAAACAGGAAGAAAAAAATCTGGCCAAGGGGGTCAGACACATATGACATATTTCCTGAGTGCTATAGAGAAATGATCTGTAAGTAAGAAGATACATGAAGAATATCCTGAAATAAAAATTAAGGGTACAAGTAATGAAGAGGATCGGCAAATAGTGAACAAGTCAAAGAATCTAAATTCTGCTTGGAAAGTGACATTTCTCTAGGGAAAGGAAAGAGAGCGAATTGCTATTGGATGATGAGAAACCACTGCTTTAATTTATACAGCCAAAAGGAAATATCCAAATTTGTACAACACCATATCCTTATGGTCTTGAAAAATCTCCATACCAAAAAAAAGTAATTTTCAATGGCTGGAGGAAGTGGCTTTGCATTCCAAAAGTGAGATGTTGAAGAGAAAAACCCTATGATTCACGTGCACGTACGGGCCCATTCACCACCGTGTAGCAGGGTAAGTCAAGAAAAGGGACTCTAGTTCAATTGGTTGCATCAATGAATGCTCGGATTTGAAGCAATGATCCACCACCATAAAAAAATGGTGGTGAGAAATAAAATGGTGTCCACCGTTTCGATTCGGTCTTAAAAAGGTCAATTCCATTGGCAAACTCTATTATGCAAGAAGGGCATTTGCAAGAACGACCACACTCATTAAGCATGGTAAATTTAAACCAAAGTTCATGGTTTATGAGTGTGACTCATCTTGCAGATGCTTTCGCAAACGTGGTATTCGTTATGAAGTAGAAGTTTTGAAGACCAAATCAAATGGATAGGGTTGTTAGATCACCGGATTCTATTTTTTCACCACCATTTTTTATGGTGCATGAGCATTGCTTCAAATCCGAGCATCCATTTGGACTAAAGTGGTTGCACAAATATAGGTATTTCATTTTATTGTTCTTCTATTGTCCACTCGCGTTTTCTTAGAAAGTAAATGCTCAACACCTGATTGTATCTAATTAGAAAATAAATACAATGTACAAAAAAATTTATTGAACTTCCGTAACCAATGCATGAGAATGGAACAATAGACTACTGTCCACTATCAACCATCCAATACACATTATCCTGGTTATTAATTGGGTAAAAGAATTTGAGAGTTTTGGATGTCACTGTAAATTGGTAACAACCTGATCATAGGTGTATATAAGAATTAAGAGCACAATTCAATCGTTTGAAATACATAAATTTTGAAGAATTTTTTTTTTTAAAAAATTGAAACATACGGTAATTGATTGGGGTTTGTGATGACATCCAATTGACGCATTACAAACATTAGATTAGTGATGGTAATAAAGAAAATGCATACATATATGTGTATATAGAGAGAGAAACGAACTTTGATTCTTTGCACTGTATATACGAGAACTGCATGTGGTTGGTCTCTGAACCGAGGCATGATGTTATGTCTCGTGTGTACTGTGAATGCTTTGACGATCACATTGAGACTTACGAACATTTGGAATGAGAGGATTTCTTTGGAATTATATTTGAAAATGGGTTTAAGATGTGTGAAATGAATGGGATTTTAAAAGAATTGGATTTGACAGAATGCCTTAAGGAATTTATAATCTAAACAAATCCAAAAAAAATGAGAGAATTTGAAGGGATTTAATGACTGATCCTCTAACTTACCAATATTATTCACATATCTATGTAAAAAAATAAAAATTTTATAACCCATACAAATCCAAAGAAAACTAGGAAAATTTGAATGGATTTGATAATCATTCTCTAACTTACCAATATTATTCATTTATCTTCTTAGAGAAATTTTATAATTTATACAAATCCAGAGAAAATAGGAGGATTTGAGGGGATTTGATAACTACTCTCTAACTTATCAAAATTACCTCCTCTTTTTTTTTTTTTTTTT